CTTAGCACTTACCCCATAGCAGGCTGTCTTCCAAGTGCTTTCTAAATATGAAGTGCAGTTTTGGAGGCAGGTCTTGTTACTCACTTACCTGTGAGGATTCTGAGGTACACGCAGGGTAAGTGACTTGCCCAGGGTCACCACACCTGGAGGACAGTGAAAACGAACCCAGGAAGCCTGGTTCTTGCTGAAGCAGTAGCAACAGCTGACCTTTCCTACGTCCCGTGCACGTGCCCTGTGTCCTCCCCACTTGGCGGTGACGTCAGGTCCTGAGGGGTCACAGGAAGTAGTTAAGCTAGATTTAACCCCAGCAGTCTCTCTTCTAAGTACTCTACAGTTTGCCTCCAGAGTCCCGTGTAGCCAAGGTCCTACAGAAAGTTTAAATCCATTGCTATCCATTCTCCAGTGAGAGATGAAGAATCTTTTCTCATGAATTCAGTATTACGAATGCATCCCAGCAATTTTCCCTCCCTCCCTCCCTCCCTCTCTCCCCAGCTGTTGCAAGGATGCTTGTGATTATATCCCTTCCTCTGCTCCTGGCAGATCTGTGTCTCGGGGCCACCCGCCAGCTTTCACTGCGCTGGGAAATGCAGCCGCAGTGCCAGGACCCTGTTCCAGAAGGACGCCTCCTTTTATTGGTGCTGTTTCAGCAGCTGAGTGATCTGATCCCTCCCCACACACACCTTCTAACTGGCTTTCCCTCCCTTCTACCCTGGTTTTTTCATTGGAACCACAGGCTCCAGGCAGTGAGAATGAAAATAAATGAGCCGTGAATGAATTGATTCCCCCCTACCCTCCCATTGCAGTTTAATAATAAATGCAGCCCCCGCATGCCATGTGCTTACCTCCCTTGTACCGAAGGAATAGAACCTTGGTGGAGGCAGAGAGAAACGCAGCATAGAATATCTGGGTATCAACTCCATCTCCAGCTGAAGTGGTCTTGGAATGGAAATAGGGCCATTAGCATAATAGCATTTCTTCTAGCAGATGCTCCTGGTTAGATCTCTATTTCTTGTCAAAAGTCCAGGGAGACTATTTGGGAGACTGTTACCCTCAGATTTTATTTTTTTTTTCTGCTTTATTATTTTTTGAGATAGGGTCTCGCTGTGCGTACTTCAGGCTGGCCTTGAACTCACTTTGTAGCCCAGGCTGGCCTTGAACTCATGGTGGTCCTCCTCCTTCGGCCTGCCGAGTGCTGGGATTACAAGTGTGCACACCACAGCCAATTTACCTTCAAATTTTAGAATATATTTACTTTACCCCTTACCCAGCTACCCCTACCTGATTGGAGAGTTTGGGTGAAATCATTGAAGCTAAGATACTTCTTGGTTTTAAAAGGCTTGGACACTTAAGTCCGAAGGATCATGAGTCCAAGTTGAGACTTTGTCTCAAAAAACAAACACACAATAAATAAGGCCGTGCCGTACCTGGGACTGTTGGGTTGAAGTGTGTCAGAATTCCTCCCCTTTGGCCTGGTCTCAGTCCCAGGGCAGGCAGGTCTCAGATGAATGTGTCAGAGCTTTCCACAGCCCCCTGAGCTCCAGAGGCGCTGGTATCAGCATGTGTGCGCCTTTGCAGCACCTGGGTTTGGCACGGTCACCAGGAAGAAGGATGTTGCAGATGTTGCAGATGTTGCAGATACCGCAGATGTTGCGAAAGCTTACCATAGGGAAGAAGACTTCCTCCCTCCTCCCCACCCCAGTCCCAGGAATTACTTTATGAGAATTCGAGGGCAATTGGGCAAAAGAAATAGTGAAGGTAGTGCCTACTTATATCGTATAAACAGCATTTATAACAGTAGAGGAACTTAAATGGTCTCCCACAGCCCTTCAACCAAAATGTATCTATTGTTATTATCTGTTTCCTTCTAGACTTTTCCTGACTTTTGCCAGCAGAAATCATGTGTAGACAAGCATTGTTGTTATGATCTTTCATTTATTAGGATGCTTTTCCATGTTCCTACACAGTTGTTTAATTAGACTTTTAATGACTACATTCTGATGCATTATACTGTATGCCCCATTGTTGAATATTTAAGTTGTTTTCAATACTTTGTTATAAAAAGTACTGTAAGACACATATTTAGGCATATATTTTTTTTCTTCTTTGATTTTATTGCCTTTGAGTGGCAAGTAAAAGCACTGGGTCAGAAAGAATGAACATTTCTGTTGCTTTTGATACACAAAGCCCTCTTCATTATTAAAAGGATAATACACATTTACATTTAGAAACAGGCCTGTTTTAAGCCATGATCTTACTGGTAGTTAGGAGTTGAATCTTAAATTTTTTGCTAATTTAATAAGAACAATTATGATTCCTTGGTTTTAATTTATACTTTGGTTGATATCAAGATGAACCTTTCCCCAAATTTGATTAATTTTGTAGCCTCTTCTATGAATTTTCTGTTTATATTCCTTGCACCTCTGCTGTAGATTTGGCATCTTTCTTACAAATTTATACAAAAAATGAATCCCTCTCCAGTCTATCTATTAAATGAATGCTTTCCATTTAAACAGTTATCTTAAAGTTCTGCAAGTATCAATTAAAATGGACACACAAGCCTTATCAAAAAATAACAAAGTTTTATAGTGCTTATAATGTTCGAGGCATAATTCTAAGCGCTTTACCCTTACCTCTGTGAAATTTCTACTAGTTTACTCAGGTTTTAGAGATGGATAAACCAAATCAAAAAAGGTCAAGAAACTTGTCTAAGCGCAACCTTACAGGTAAGCCAGGATTCAGCGCCAGGCATCCTGGCTCCTAATGTATGCTGTAGCCTCACATTCGATCTCTCATTGGAACTGGGAAAAGAAGGCAGCAGGCAAATACTGTTATGGATGGTGAATGAGAGACACACGCCCAATCCCATAGATGCCTGAGACCTGGGGACAGCATATTGGAGCATCTTGGGTCTCTCAGTGCATCCAGTGTATTGCCAAGAAGTAGATGAGCTACTGTAGAAAAGACAAAAGAAAAAAAGAAATCAACTCTATGTAGCAGCACATCTGTTGTAGCTGTGGGACTTGTGTCCAAGGATTGTTTGAAGGTGTGTTGCTGCGTTTTCACAGCTGTGTCTCCCAGCTGTGGCCTCTAAGGCGTGGGCTCAGTGCTGACAGGATCTCCTGCCATCTCTCCCATGGGTTCCTGCTGTTAAAAGTCAACCCCTGCTTGTGGTCTGACAGGTTTTACTCTGACCAGGGTTCTTAAATCCTAAGCTCTGTTTCATTTGTTGTGGTGAATTTAATGAATTTAATTCTGGGGGTGTTTAATTATTGAGAAGTGAATTTTCACAATTTTGGGCGCAGAGAATTATTTGCTCTGTTGGATAAGGAAATAAATACAGAGGGATGTGCAGGCAGGATGCTTTTATTAGTAGGGCTTTATTGATTTAAAGAAACAGACAGACAGAGATATAGATATATAAACAGCCGAATTCTGACCAGAAATGCAAAGCAAGGAAATCCACAGAGGACTGGTGACCCACCAAGCCCCTCACATCTATCAGTTTGTAGAGCTGTCTTTATGTAGGAAGGTGGGTTGAGTGAGCTGCTGAAATAACAATCATGAAATCATAAGCAAAAATCACTCTGTGCCCTGTTGATTCCCTTTCTGTCAATACCTTGCAAAATCTGAACGGGCCAAGGTGAATTTACCCATTTTGAGTTACGGCCTTTTTGTGTCTCCTGCATGACAAGAATAATCCATCTCAGCATTGTCAGCTTGCAGTTTCTGCTTAGGTGAGCTCTCTGAATCCATGCTATCTTCATTTACCTTTCTGAGTAAAAGAGCTGTGAAATGATGGGAGATGCTTGGCTCCCTTTAAGAGGAGAGAAGGACCATGAGTGAATGTGCAGAATAAAGTAGACGTGCTTTGGTTGCCTGAAAGAGAATTTCAAATCAACCTGAAAAAACTGCTGAAGACAGTTTGACTCCAGAGTTTCCCAGCTGGCACACAACCTGCCATGAGGGATCCAGACTCTGGAGACAGCACCTCAAGGTGCTGCCTAGCCTATTGCAGGATTCTAAGGAACTGACTAGTCTTACACAGTTCAGCCATCCCAGAGCACTGGGCTGATTGTGTGTTAACAAAGGCAACTTCATGCATAAAGTTATATCTTCACTGATACCGCAGCCCAGGTCTGAGAGGGAGGCCTCACCTTTTCCAGTAGGATTTCCTTCTCTGGTTAGCGAACCTCCTGGAAGTGGGGGCACTGGGCACCTTGCTGGAGGGGCACCAGCATTTGAAAGAGGTCAAAGCCCTCGTAGACCTACTTGCGGCAGCTGTGTGGAAGGAGATCTGTCCTGTGCTCCGCCAGTGGAGCCAAGGCTGGGTTTCATCCCGACCCGCGTCCTTACCTGTGTTCTTTCCTGGGCGATTTTGCCCACTTAGGGACCGTCCCAGCATCCTGAACACTCCTATCGCAGGGCTTAAAACACTACCTAGAGGCCGGGTATGTGACTCCACATTAGAGCACCTGCCCAGCATGCGTAAGACCCTGGGTTCAGTGTCCAGCACTGGAAACACTCTCCCCCGACAAAAAAAGGAGTGCCCCATTGTACTTCCTGTTTTCTTCTCAGCATGCCTTCATCAGCCTGCACACTTCTTGTACAGGAAATGTGTTTGTTCTATTCATGGTTGTATTACTAAGGCTTTGTACAGTGGACGCTCTGCTGTGTATATACCTGTTGAAAAACAAAGTCATAAATGCACGCCTTCAGAGCCTTGCTGATTGATGGATTCTGAATGCTTGCCTTGGCTTGGTTTCAGGGGTTGTGATAGGGCTTACTCTTGAAGAGGTGAGAGAAGGACAAATCCTTGGGGAGACCCTGCAGAAGACTGTCTGCTCTTAAGAGTCCACTCTTGCCTAGCTACTTAAAGAGAACCATACTTAATGAAAGTATGGGCCCTAAAATCATGTGACTCACCCAGTGATGATTTCAGAGCCAGAGAGTGTTCTAGGAAAAGCCACTGAAGCACAGTAATTGTCTCTTGCCTTTTCTAGCACTGGAAGACCCAAGGCAGCGAGGAGTATGAAGCAGAAGGTAAGAGCTGTGTGCATGTGGGAGGGTTCTTACTGGTAGAGCACTCTCCACTGCCTGCCTTCCTCTGTATCCTGCTCGGAAATTCACATGAAGAAGAACAGCCTCAGAAAATCCTTCCCCATGGGTAGCTCGTAGTTTTAAAAATCCTAGCTTTTAATAGCATGCAAAAGATGGCAAAGAAGATGTGGAATTCCACTTACAGGCTAATTACTCTCTGTACAGACTTTCCAATTAATTTGCCAATGAACACTGCTAACCTAAATAGTAGCCTATTAAAATACGCCCCTGGCAAGTTTCAAGTGTATTTGAGAAGTGTCAGAATGTGTGGTCCTCTGGCCACCAGGGGCCGCTGAGGTTCAGCTGACAGGGTCTCAAATTGCTTCATTGCCTACCTAGGATTTACAGGCTGAAGTGTAATTACAGCGTGTTCTCTCCTCTCCAGCCTGGACAGACACAGCGGTGATCGGGCTTAATTTCTGTCAGTAAATAACAGAGATGGCACTAACTGCACATCTCAAGTCTCCCAGCTCTTCCAGGCACAGAATTGTGCCAGCAATTATCTCACGTTAAAGCGGTGGCTCTGCAGCTCTGTCAGTGGACAGTTTTGAAGTGGGAGCTTTTAATAGAGAATGAACAGTCTCGCTATTTAAATAAGTAGTTTGACCCTCATCTTCCGCTAGACCTTATCTTTCAGATAGATAGTTAGGAACTGGCAGCTTGCAATTGTTTGTTCTTTCAAGTTGGAGTCTGTAGATCAGAATATCATACGGAAGGATTTTAGGAGCAGGCACATCTTGAGACATTCATTCTGAAGTTATTTCCTTCTTAATAAAAGATACACTAGAACTTATACTAGAAAGTGTAGATTAAACCAATCCAGAAGCCATAGTTGCAGGGCTTACAAGGTTTGGGGATGGCTCTCAGCCACCCTTCTTATAAGATCACAGAACAGACTAAGCTCAAGACATTCTCTGTTGGGGTAAAAGAGATCTCAGACTGCGTGGTATTGGGCAGGAGGTGATTTTTCTTACTGAGGGATGGTACCGTGGAGCAAGAGAGGACATGCTGGCTGTAGCTACGAATGGTCCTATTACATTGGAAGTTCAGGATAAGTTAAAAAGGATTCAACATGTATAGTCTTTTTCTTAAAATATTTCTTTTCAAAGAATACACTTTTCTTTGTAAATAGGCACTTTCATAATTAATTTGGAGACAACATAAAAGTAGTGATTGACATGTATGCTGAACATTTACTTTTAAAAATCTATTACAGGAAAAGACACATTGGTATTAATCCTCACTTCAAATACACATCGCATTGTTTTTGCCACTTTCTGGAGCAATTCTGGAAGTCCTCTTTTTGTGTGTTTATGATCTGTGATCAAAACTATAGTGAGGGCTGGGGATAGAGCTCAGTGGCACAGGCGCCTGTCTGGCAAGTGCAAGGTCCTGAGTTTGATTCCTGGTACCAAAAAAACAAAAACAAAAAAACTGCAGTGAATGCTGCTGAGTGTCATTCAATGGAAAGGCAGGCTTGTAAAAATGTTAGTGTGTCCTCATCCGCCTTATTGACTGGATCTAGTACTGTGAGACTTCTGACTTCCCCAGAGTCAGAATGACCATGAAAGGTAAACATCTTGATTCAGTACATCAAGGCATGACAGCACAATTAAAGGCACTCGTGAAAGAGGACTTCCAGAACTGCTTCAGAAAGTGGCAAGGCCAATGGGAAAAGTGTGTTCAAATCGGGAGTGAGGGGTCCTGGGGGGCGGTGGCTAATGGCAATGTGCTTTTTATTGCAGTTTTTTTTTTTAAATTGACTGTATCTTTTGATCACACCTTATATACAATTTGATTTCAGGTCAGTTAAGGTTTTGGAATCCAGATGACTTGAATGCCTCACAGAGTGGGACCTCCCCTCCCCAAGACTGGATAGAAGAGAAACTGCAAGAGGTTTGTGAAGATCTGGGGATCACGCGTGATGGTCACCTGAACCGGAAGAAGCTGGTCTCCATCTGCGAGCAGTACGGCTTGCAGAACATAGATGGAGAGGTGAGCTTTGCCGTACGTGTAGGCTCAGGGATAATGATGACGATAAAAGCGGAGCTGGCCACAGGCTGGAAGCGACCATGTTGTGGTTTCGTGTGCCTTGTGAGAGAGATCGTTTTTCTCCTCAGAGGCCCTTCTCAAAGATTTTGTGTTTGAGAAACTTGTGTTATAGAAAAGCAAAACTGACAGTAGCTGACGCTGGGTGCACACCATGTGCTAAGCTGTTATCCATGAGACCATCAGCGCCAGTGTGGTGCAGCCCTTGTGTCACACGCATCCCTAAGGGTGTCAGGTAGAGCAAACTGTGAGGGCGTGTGGAGGAAGGGCTACACAGGAGTCCCGCAGATTTGAAGAGGGCAAGAGGTGAGTTTGAAGGCCAGGTTGGTAAGTTTAGCGTTTTAGAAAGAAGATCTCAGTGTCTTCCCTGGGTGCTTACACAAACTAAACAACATGTAGGGCAAGCTGACTTGCTGCGTGTGACCTCAACTGCCTTCGCATGTAGGTGTGAGGACAGCTTGGGTTAGAGCAGCCCGGCGCCGTGACCATGTCCTGGTCTCAAGGAAATGGAGAAGAGTAGATTGTTTGTTTTGGAAAGATAAAAGAAAAATCTTGAGGGTGCATCTAACGGAGTCTTACTTCGTAATGCTTGAGCTTTGTTTTTTCTGGAAAAAAAAAAAAAAGAGGAGACCCACAGGACCAAATGCACAAATAGTTGTGAAATATAAGAATATAACTAATTCCAAGATATGTCTTTCAAAAAGCTAAAAATAAAGATGAGAGAGAGTTAGAGGTTAGGGCTGCTGCTGTAGCTTCAGAATCTCTGACTATAATGCTATTTGAAACCATGCTGTGTTCTCGCTCAGGGGATAAGTGGTATTATTTTCCCAACCAAGAGAGATTTTCATCAAAAAGCTTACAAGTAGCCCAGCTTGCGGAAGATTTTTCCCCTTCTCCTTTATGTATATGGCCGTTATCCATCATTTGAGTGCCATTTTAATGGCTCAGGGGTGGCTTATTTTTCAGTGATGGCTGAACTAAATCCGTCTTAAACTAAGTCCGTCCTCCTACTTTCTAAAGCAGAGTAGCACACAGAACCTTGGGTTGTTTTTGCCAAGAAATATTGCACAAACTCGGATTGTTTATCTAAAAACAATTCTCGGGGTAAATGACGGCCACTCTCAGGGCGAAGCCTTTTCTTTTGTGTCAGCGTCCTCCAAACTCGGGACAAGGTGTGCCCTGTTTAGTTCTTTACCTCTGGTCCAAGGATGAATACACTGCTGGTTATTGAACATGGCTTTTACATAGTGTGTAGGGTTTTTTTTCGTCCTAAACAAAAAGTGTGGGTTTCTGTGGTTTTTTTTTTTTATTACTAACTGGAAACGACTGAGGAGGTGGAGTTCAAGATGATGTTTTTAACAGGCAGCTTGGAATCCTGGAATTTTACAACTGTAAGCAACTGGAGCTTGAGTCACCCCTCATTGTACAGTCAGGAGGAGGAGGGGGGCAGTCATTCTTCTCCACTCTGCTGTGAGGAAAACTACTTAATAACGTAAAAAAATTGTTTGATTAGTACGTGTTTGCAGTACATAATGTTCACATTCATCTGAGGGATAGGTACCTGTACTTAACGTGACTTAATTCTTTTTAGTCTCCTTTTCCTCTGCTCCATTCCTGTATACCCTTCCCATTTGCAAAAGTTCTATCTCCCTGTGTCCCATTGTCTTGCATTTTGCTTTTTAAAAATTATCTGTATTTTGAGTTTCTCATGTAAGAGAAGTTATGAGATATGTACGCGTGTGTGTCTGATTTATTTCACTTAACATTATGGTCTCCAGGTGCATCCATTTTCCTACAAATGACTCCGTTATCCTTCTTTGTGGCAGAGTAGTACTCCATTGTGCATAAATACCACATTTTCTTTATCTGTGCACCTGTTGATGGATGTGTAGGCTACTTCCAAGCTCAACCTCTTATGAGTTGTTACTGCTATAAACATGGGTATGCATGTATCTGTGGCAGTAACAGTCTCTGCTTTCCCGAAGTAAGGACAGCCAGAGGACAAGAATGGTAAACTGTACCCGGGATGCCGCATCTGCCCCAAAGATGATTGTATTAATCTGTTTGGTGTTTTGAAAATGGAGCTTTGTAGTACACGTTTTAGAATTAGGAGATTTTCTAAAAATCCAAGGATCTGGCGCCATTTTGCAGACAGGGAGAGACAGCTGGCCCCTTTGGGAGGGGCGAGCAGCTGTGGGTGCAGCTGGATTGTCTTGACCATTTTCAAACGTCCTCAGGCCATCCTGCCTCGTTCATTCCTGGGGCTCTGTGGGTACCTGGGTTTGTGATTCTCTGTCCTGGCGTGTTGTTTCCTAACTACACATCGGGAAATCAGCCATCCACAGACCTGGCCAGTGTGTCCTGGGGAGGAAGAGCGTCCTCCAAATTCTAGATGCAGCTGCCCATTTAATCTGCGTTCGTTTCTGTCCATCTGTCTGCTGAATTCGCGTCCCTCAGTCACCACCTCATCACCCGCCCCCAATTAAAAATAACTGATGGGACTCACCTTCTCCTCCAGTGTAAGCCGGTCAGGTGATGGATGTTTCGGGCCTGGAAGTTGTACTGATTTGCTCAAGGTCGCAAGGCCAAATAGCATAGGTCAGAGAACTAAAATGCACCCTGTGAACTTTGGTCAGTGCCCCAGGCTTTCTCAGTAATATTTGGTCACGGAGCTGGCAGCCTCCTCCTCTAGGAAGGTGCTCTTTTGGTTGATGAGAATGAGACAGAAAGGCTAAGAGGCCACTTTGGCCTCTTGTCCCAGATACCTATTCATTGATTTGATCACCTGTCCATTGATTTCTCGTTGATTTCATCTGCTTGAAGTTATTGCATCTTCCAGAGATTTCCACCATTTTGAATACTCTAAAATGGAGACAGATGTTTCCTATTGGATGTGAATTGGAAAAAAAATTTTTTTTGAGATAAGCAGATGTGTTGAGCATTTACATAAAGAGTGAAATCAGGTTTGAAATGATATGAATCATAGCAGTAGTCCAGATTGAAGAAGTGAATATGGAAGATTAGAGAATGTGTTGACAGGTGATGTAGGCCTGTGTCAGTGAATCCAGGTATATGCTAGGGTGAATCCACTAAGCAGCAAGACTGAATCTGTTGCTTACTCCATCTGCTTCCTGGTCTGTGGCCTGGACTCTGCCTTGAGGGCTTGTTAGAAATGCAGAATCTCAGGCCCCTCCTCAGCCCTCCGATGCAGAAATCTGCATTTTTACAAGATCTCCAAGCATTTCCTTTTTGTTCATGGTAGGCACATTCCTACAGAACAAATTTGCCCCCAAAATAAAGGGTAGATGACTGCCACTAGGAAGCCTCTTCCTTTCCTCCTTGTCTTTTGACTTCAGTGATTCATGCTGCTTGCTGTGCTTTCCCCTTCTCGTTCCTTTGTGGTACTAGGAAACAAATCATTTCCCAGAAAAGCCTCTACACAGGGCTATGGTCCAGTCTTCCCTTTCCCTACTATATGAGAACTTCTGTTTCGTTTTGATTTTTGAGATAAGGTCTTGCTATGTAATTCAGGCTGGGCTCAAACTCACTATGTAGCCCAGGCTGGCCTTAAACTCCTGGCAATCCTCCTGCCTCAGTCTCCTGAATGTTGGGACTATTGGTGTACACCTACACCCAGCTCAAGAACTACCCAGTTATTGTCAAAAATAGCTAGTCATAACTCGCCTGTATTTATATCTCTTGGAATCCTTCTATTACTTATACACAAGTACCTTCTTGCCCAGTCTTTGTCTTTCTTGGCTAATGCATTAGAACAAAAATTCAACACATTCAGTGTTGTTCTAAATAAGGTTCTAAACTCCAAGTGTAGGTTTCTGACCCTTTCTCCTAGATCACTGCAATTTGTCCCAGAACAGAGTGGGCTAGGCTACCAATTTCAAAACTTCAGTATAAGCCACATCACACAGAATCACAGTTCAAAAGCACAATGAATGTCCAGCTAATTTCTGTTGTTATCATACTGGGAAACTATGTCTTTATTTTTAAGCAGTTTTTTTTTTTTAATTTGCAAGAATAGTGTGTAACAACATTAAAGACCAGCTGGTCTAGGAGTGGGAGTAAAAGAAAAATAATTAATTGCTAAATTGCATAAGATTATGGGGATGTTGAAAGTAGACCTTTATTTGGTTTGTATAAGAAGATAGATCATGCTAGGGATATACTGAGCAGCGTGGGATATACTCATGCTAGGGATATATTCAGCTGCCTGGCAAGTGCAAGGTCCTGAGTTTGATTCCCAGTACCACAAAAAAGATAGATCATTACTGGAAGGAAATAAATTTAGTGAACTGAGAATAAAGGGACATAACTGTATTTCTGGGGTCTTGATCAACAGTAGAACTGATTTCTATAGGTCAGAAGTGTATTTTGGGTCTTATTTTTAGAGAAGATTTAAAATGCATGATTACTCTTCTGCAGATGCTTGAGGAAGTATTTCATAATCTTGATCCTGATGGAACCATGAGTGTAGAGGATTTTTTCAATGGTCTGTTTAAAAATGGAAAATCCCTTACACCATCAGCATCTACTCCGTACAGACAACTGAAGAGGCACCTCTCCATGCAGGTAAGTAAACAGCGGTTTTTTTGTGAGAAGAAGAACCCATTTAATAATTTCTAATGAATTAATCTACTGTCTGAAGCAACAGGCTGAGGAGATTGTACACAGCACAGGAGAACAAGAAAGACTCAACTATTAGGTAGGAAAAGTTGCGTTTGGAAATGACAATAAATGAGAGACTAGGAAGGCTGTTGATTATGCTGATTAATGTCAGCTCAGGATGTTAAGCAGAGACACAGCTTGTCTATAACAAATAACGCTGTCTCAGTGTAATTGTTTTTAATAATCTTTTTAGTCTTGACATCTGGGAAACAAGAATCAAAAGCAGTGTATTGAATCCTTCCACCCCCAACAGTATAAGTTACATTCTGTTTTCTTTGTTCAGGAATAGCCAGTTTCAGTCTTTACCAGCGTCTAGTTGAAATGCCTGGGGTCTCCTGAGTTTGCTGCATTCTCTTTCTTCCAGTCTTTTGATGAAAGTGGACGTCGTACAACAACCCCTTCGGTGATGACGAGCACCATTGGCTTCCGGGTCTTCTCCTGCCTAGATGATGGGATGGGCCAGGCATCTGTGGAGAGAATACTTGACACCTGGCAAGAGGAGGGCATTGAGAACAGCCAGGAGATCCTAAAGGTGTGCCCTTTAAGTGGGACAAAAGATAGCAAAACAGAGAAGGGATGAAATTTTCCATTTTTCTGAAACTCTTAGGATTTGATTTGATTTCTCCTTGATGATTATTCTGTTCACAGGATCTCAGAGATAAGAGGTAACTATTCCTACCTCCGTTAACCAGGAGTCTGTTGCTAATGCCTTTCCATGTTGTTAACTGCCAAATTATTGACATGGGAAATGTTCTTAACTGATCTTGGGTTGGTAAAGATTAGTGTTATATTCCGTTTACGTGTAGTGCCAGCTAGTATTTCTTTAAATACAAATTACCATGTTATGCTTTCCTTAGGAAAAAAAAAAACATAGTTGAAGATTGTCAGCATTCATTAAAGAAACGGAGCCATCCAGTTCCTAGGCTGTCTTCTGTTCTCACAATTTGCCTAACCTTCACACTCTCCTGCTTTTTAAAAGAAAGAACTTGTGATTTGTCTTGAACTTATGCCATATTCTGATTCCTAGGCCTTGGATTTTAGCCTTGATGGAAATGTCAACTTGACAGAATTAACTCTGGCTCTTGAAAATGAACTTCTGGTCACCAAGAACGGCATTCACCAAGCAGCTCTGGCCAGCTTTAAGGCTGAGATCCGGCATTTGTTGTGAGTTGAGCAGAAGGTTCACCTGTCCCGTTCCCTTCCCTGCTTGGCCAACAAGTCATTCATGTGCCTTCCACAAAGACCGTCCCATCCCATAGGCAATCACGGCTCCTCTTCTGTGTGTAGCTACTGCGCAGCTCTCCCTCCCCTGCAGGAAAGTGAGGAGTTGCGATTGTTGCGTAGGCTTTTGAAGGGAACCATGGACTCCCATTTTGTTTTGGAAGGCTCAAGTGGTCTTCGTTTTGTTTTTGCATCAGAGTGAGCCAAATGAGAGCTTTTCTGAGGCTGTTTGTTGCTTAGAAACAGCTTCTTGTTAATTCAGTTTGTTTCTGATTCTAGGGAACGGGTTGATCAAGTGGTCAGAGAAAAAGAGAAGCTGCGATCAGACCTGGACAAAGCCGAGAAGCTCAAGTCCCTCATGGCTTCGGAAGTGGACGATCACCATGCGGCCATAGAGCGGCGAAATGAGTACAACCTCAGGTGCGACCCGGAGGGCAGGTCCAGGCTCCTTCCCCGCCCCTGTGACCCTGGGCAGTGGCATCTGAATCTGCAAGGCCAGCACAGCGCAAGGGGTACTTTGCCTACCTGCCTATTTGGCAATCAGCTGCCATGATTTTTGTTTTATTTTGTTTTGTTTGTTTTTGTGTTTTGTCTTTGAGACAAGGTTTCACTGTGCAGTTCAGGCTGGCCTTGAGCTCACTTTGTAGCCCAGGCTGGTCTTAAACGTTTAACGATCCTCCTGCCTCAGCCTCCCGAGTGCTGAGATTTCAGGCATGTGCCACTCCACCTGGCATGTTTTGCTTTGTTTTTCTGAGACAGATTTTCACTTAGTAAATTGCCGGTACTGGACTGAAATGTTCTATCCTCCTGCCTCAGCTTTCCATAGTGCTGGAATAGTAGGCATGTGCCACTGTGCCCAGCTGGGGCTGCTGAGATTTAAGTGTGGCCAGGCCTAAAGGCAGACAGATCACAGAGGGCATTTTCTCAACGTGCTTCATCTCTGTAATTCTGCTTCCATTATGGGTGGATCCCCATGGGGGTCTCCAAATGATTTAATCCACTCAGATCTCATCTCCTCTCCTCCCAGGAAACTAGATGAAGAATACAAGGAGCGCATAGCAGCCTTAAAGAATGAGCTCCGAAAAGAGAGAGAGCAAATCCTGCAACAGGTGGGCAAGCAGCGTTTAGAACTCGAGCAGGAAATCGAGAAGGCAAAAACGGAAGAGAACTACATCCGGGACCGCCTTGCCCTCTCTTTAAAGGTAAACACCTTTTTCATACTGGGGCTTCAGTCTCTCTGGGGAGTCCACATGGCAAACTCCAGCTCTGCAAGACACCGTGTCTGCACTGGGCTCACTGTGAGGGTTCTTGTACATTTACCCAACTGGGTCAGGATCCACACGTGGCAGAGCCCTGCTAGGATCTGGATTTCGGAGTACCGAGGCTCCTGGGGTACAGAGAGTTGATCAGTATAATTTGTTCTATGTATCTTGTGCAGTTATGCTGGGTCCTCAAGGCTCTTTGGCCTCTGGGGGACGCCCTCGGGTCCCCCTCCCCTTATCTTCAGCAGATAGGCTGACTTTCTGCTCCACAGAGGCCATACCTTTCCCTTTGCTCTGCCTCAGTGGAGGAAATGGTCCTTCTCTTTCCCGGACTCTCACACCAGGGAGCTCTGAAGTGCGGCTGTTGCATTCAGATCTGGATACCAGCGTGTACTAGAAACCTATGATCACGTTACTCAAACTATGTTTCCTACAATACCAGTGGGAACCATAGTAACACCTACGCTTTAGCATTAATGGGATTATATCAGATGATGCAAATAGGATGTCTGGAAAATAAGACATTTGGACTCTTCGCTGCTGTTGCCATTATAAAATGCTCTTAAAACTCCACACATCAAAAACTGAGCCAGTTACCACTCCCTACCCATACAGTTGTTTCATGTCTTGAATTTTCTACCTGGTAAGCATTGCCACCAAGTACTGTATAGTCCTGGAAGGTAAAATTCTCAGTTATCCTCACACATTATCGCTCATTGGTGACAGCAAGTGGTGTTGCTGCTCTGAAGTGCCTTAGATTTATCCTCATTCTCTGCATTTCCTCAGCCTCTGACTGAGCTCTGAATTCATCATAGTTTCTTAGCTGATTCTTGTATGTCCTTAAAGGTCCTTTTCTCCATCTCTCCTACCCACATGTGGCCGTCAGAGTTGCCTTCCCAAAGATCGGTTATCATTCTGGTACCCTAGGAGCGCTGGCGATCAAGGCTGCAGCCTTTCTAGCCTCAGCTCCTGCAGCAGCCCCAACCCTCTACTTTCTTTCAGCTCTCTTTGTCCCTCAGGCACGGAGCACTTTTGTGCTCCCTTGCTGCTTTCCCCAGCACTGCAGTCCAGGTCAGTTTATCATCCCCACTGTATTTATTTTTTTGTTGCCAGGAAATAGTACATTTACTGTTATGTCAAGCTGTATCCACATCTGCTGCTTCCTGCAGTCGAGAGTGTTCCCTGTGGTCAGAAACAGTATCTGATTTGTCCATTTTCAAAGCACAGCAGGTCCTGGGACACACAGATTGCACCTTATTATTGTAGCATCTAAGTTTCGATAATGTGCTTTAAAAGACTATAGAGTCATGGAACTGGCATGTTAGGGGAAGGTAGCATTTTTTAAAAATGCTTTGAAGTGTATTCTCTCTTACTCCATATTGCTACATGAGGGTGTGAACTAGAATATATTAAAAATATATTGGCTTAGTATTTTTTTGGCAAAATGTACTTGGAAAATACCACTCTTTCAGTCAGCCTTGAACATTGGAGAAGAAAATATGGCAAATGGTGTGTCTGTATGTTTTTAAAAAAAAAAAATATGTGGGATGGAAATCATTCCAAAAAGTTCTGTACATAAAGAGCCTTTTAAATGAAAAAAAAAAAAAAAACTTTTGTGAGTCTTGCTTGATGTACTATTTTGTTATAATTTAAACATAAATTATGAACTTGCATTATACCTTTTGCAGCCTTAAATTCAAAATAAATTTGTAAGTTCAACGTAAACTATAGAATCAATAAGTGAAAATTGATTTTAGAGTTACCTCCTTTTTTATAGGTTTTCTGAATTCTCGGCAGCTCAATAAGTTATTTTATAGCCGATTTACTTTCATTTGCTGATATATTGTGAATATTTTTATGTCACTTACAGTAGCCTACTACAATACTGCCCAGCAGAATAATAAAACAAGCCACATATTTCAAATTTTCAAGTAGCATATTAAAAGATGAAATTAATTTCAATCATTTCATTTAATCTAGTATTCCTAAAGCATTGTCATTTTGAAATGTATTTGGTATATAAAAATTATTATTGGGCTATATATATATATTTGTAGTTTGTGAAGTCTGGTATATATTTTACACTTACAGCTCTGCTTGTTTTGTACTAGGCATGTTTTATGTGCTCAATATCTATATGTGGCCGTTAGTGGCTAGCATTGAACATTACAGTGCTACACAATTTTTTTTTAAAGGCAGACTTTGGGTTATGAGATAGATGTCAACTTTGTTATATTTACTTGTGTTTCCAATTATACCACACTTTCAAAATGGACATATTTCCTTAATGATTTATGCTTCAGATGAAATGGTATGACAGTTTGCTTATTTCTTTATCTGTGCCACATTGAATTTCCCCAAATTTCTTCAGGAAAACAGTCGTCTGGAAACTGAGCTTCTGGAAAATGCAGAGAAGCTGGCAGAGTATGAGAATCTGACAAACAAACTTCAGCGAAATTTGGAAAACGTGTTAGCAGAAAAGGTAAATCTGTCTACGTCTGACTCCCCGATAAGCTGCCCAACATACCATTCACTCAGAAGAACAGAAGCAGTGCCAAGAACAGTTTTATTAGGGAAGGATTGTACTTGGGAGCCTAAAGGGCGTTGTACCTTTTGCGGGGAATCATTTAGCGGGGTGCTTGCGCTGGGGAAACACTGCCTGTCTCTGGAAGTGATCCTGGCCTGAGGCGAGCACATCCGTCATCCTCCCCACCTTCCGGTTGGTGGTGTGTCTGTGTAAGTGCCACGTTCCCTCCACACTCACAAGAAACTGGGCCATTTGGTATGTGATAGGTCAAAGAAGGGTACTAGGGGAACATGACTGCTTTGCCCCCTTGCAGTTCGGTGACCTTGATCCCAGTAGTGCTGAATTCTTTCTGCAAGAAGAGAGGCTGGTGCAGATGAGGAGCGAGTACGAGCGGCAGTGCAGGGTGAGTGCTGGGGAGACCTGGGTGATGCTGGGGGCGGGGGTTGCGCTCAGATCCCAGCTGTGCAGCCATGCACAGTCGCCTGAGCTATGGGCGCCTCCGCTCCTCAGCAATGAGATGGCAAAAGGAAGAGTACTCAGCCTGAGGACTGCCGTGAAGATTCAACAAATGAGTATGTGTAAAGTGCTTAGGACAGAGCCAGGGCCATGGTAAGCACTTACACAGACATGAGCTAATAAGATTATTACTCAGGGGCTGGGGATTTAGCTCAGCGGCAAAAGCGCCTCCTGGCAAGCGCAAGGTCGTGAGTTCGGTTCCTGGTACCGGAGAAAAACCAAAAAAAAATTAAAAAAAAAAAAAAAAAAAAGATTATTACTCAGCGTGCTAAGCTACAGGGACCTCTGCAAACCTTCACCTACGTCAGAAATTCCTGGGGCTTAAAGGAAAATAATATGTGACCATGGGATGTGCTTATTCCAAAGTGAGCCTTTCCTGAGTGATCACTCCTGTTTGATCAGACCCAAGCTGTTTTGTCTTCCCCTTTACACGATGCAAATGAAGCAGAAATCGCTCGAGTCTTTAAATGGTAAATCGAGTCTTTAAACGGTAAGTCATTCTCAGTGCCTACCAGGAAAGACACAAACATTCGCATTAAGGAATCTGTTTGTTTTCTTAGATTCACTCCCTTAATCTTAGGAATTTGGGGTGTTGTTTTCCCTTAAACCTAAAATACTTGCTTGACAAGGTAAAGATAACTGAGTGCTGACTGCTCTAGGTAAAAATTGCATGTGCAGAGATGGGAAAGCAGTCACCTCTCTGTAAGCTTGTTTCCAGCCTGCCTTCTCAGGAAATGCACAGGCCTGTTCGAGCAAAGAAAAGAAACATTTCTACTGCTTAGTTTTTGGTTTTATCAGAACGTTTGCTTTACGTGTCTTCAGATTTAAGAACTTCATCATTAAAATCTATCAGCGCTACCTCCCCAAGTCCCCCCAACCCATCCACTTCATTTAAACAGCTTTCCATGTCATACGTTTCACCTACTTTAACTGTACGACTTGGTGTGTTTTATTACAGTCACACAATTGTGTGACCATCACCCCAAAAAAGAAACTCCTGCTCCGTTTAGCCATATTCTTTGCGTAGCCCTGGGTAACTCTGGTCTGCTTTCCATCGCTCTGGATTTGCCCAATCTTTATGTTTTATATAAAGAGAATTATATAAAGTGTGTGACTGGCTGTCTTCCCTTAGCATGATATCTTCAATACAGTAGCATATATCCATACTTCACTCTTCTAATGGCTATATGGGTTGATTACATTTTGTTTATGCATTCATCAGTTAGTGGACCTTTGGGTTTGTAGGCGCCCTTATGAATAATGCTGTGAAAATTTGTGTGCATATTTTTGTGTAGCTTTATTTTCATTTCTCTCGGATGTATACCTAGGAGTCAGGCTGCTGGATAATATGGTGAGTCTGTGCTTGACCTTCTGAGGAACCGGCAGATCTCCTCCAAAGTGGTTGTATTGTTCCTGCCAGTAGAGTTCAGCTTTCTCTGCATCTTTGTTAATACAGTTGTTACTGTGTGTCTTTTTTATTCTAGCCATCTTGGTAGGCGTGAAATGGTATCTCATTGTGGTTTTTATTTGCATTTCCTTGACAGCTAATGATGTTGGGATCTTTTATGTATTTATTGCTGGTTTATATAAATTCTTGGAGAAGTAACTATTTACAGCCTTTGCCCATTTTTAAATCGAGTTCCTTGCATTTATTATTGAGTTGTAATAGTCTATATATTGTAGTTCCAAGTCTCTTATTAGCTAATATAACTAGCAAAACTTTTCTCATGTTCAGTGGGTGCTTTTTACTTCTGTGATGATGTTATTTGAAGCACAAATTTTTTTAAAGGATGATGTCCAATTTAGTTATTTTTGTTGTTGTTGTTGTTGCTTATGTTTTTGGTGTCACATTAAGACCTGTGGTGGCTTTTAAACGGCAGGTATTACAAGACCAAGTGGATGAACTTGAGTCCGAGCTAGAAGAATATCGTGCTCAAGGCAAAGTGTTCAAGCTCCCCCTGAAGAATTCACTGTCAGAAGAACTTGATGTTAACAACAGCGGCCTTGAGCCCAACCAGGGTAAAGACATTCAGACACTATCTTTTCAGAATCTGCATGTGTTTAGAACCAGAGCTGAGTGTAAAGTTGCAAATCTCTGGCGACCTTTCGTGGCTTGTTGGGGGTGGGGATGGCACTACCCTTACCGAGCTATCTCACTTGTGGTCTGGTTTCACATGTGTTCTTGAAGTCTTTATAAGACTATTTCTACCTGATCTGTATGCTCATCAACAAAAGAATGAAAAAAACAAACCCACAAGGGTATTTGCTTTGTTTAAAACAAACAAACAGTCTGCCAACCAGAGAACCCAGGCCTTTGGAGTGCCAGAATTCAGACCCGGTTCACACTGACCCCTCCCCTTCTATGAGAGCGCCTTGCTGGTATGAGGGTGGTTTGGAGAGTGAGCCAGCCACAGACCATAGAATCCACAGCTGGTTTTCTTGTGCTGTCTGTGCTGAATGCTCAAATTGCTCCTGCAAAACAGCAAATAAGATAAGTAAGGGTTGGTCATCCATTCCTTCCGAATGACAAAGTTGGAAGGGGACCCATCCAAGAGTCACATCTGCTCCTTCCTCCCTCCTGATAGCTTGTCTCTTTTCCAGGGTGTGTTGGGTTCGAATGTCAGAAAGAACCCAACACTGCCACTTGGGTGAGAATATGGTTCAGACAAGGGTGGTTTATTCCTCTCCTCCATGTACTTGCTGTAGAAGCAGGAGGGGAGTAGAGAGGCAGAGCCTGAGGCCTTAAGCTCTGTTCTCTGATTTTAGGCTTATTCTCTATAGTCAGGGTGGAGGCCATCTAACGATGTTGCATTTCTGAAGGTTTTCCACCCAAGCATTGGCTGTGCTCTTCGTGCATACGTGAAGCCTCACCATCTTGGGGTGGATCACACCCACGTGTTACTTCTCATTTGGGGATATCCCACAGTATAGAGAGACAAGGCCCAGGACAAGACGGGGAGTCCCAGCTGCTAGACGTGTGCCCACGTAAAATGCCTTTTTCCCATCTACCTGTGTGCATCCCTATGTGAAAAGACTATTGTGGGTCTCCCTGCCCTAAGTTATTTCTGCATAATAGTACACATAATACTTTTGTTTCTGCACTAATTGAACACCTAACTTATGTTTCCCATCTTCAGTCCTCATGGGCAGCTACAGAAGTGAACTCCCATGGGCAGGTTGAGAACTTCCACCCACTCTGCCTGTATCCAGACTCCCAGCCCGAGCCCTGTTTTTTTAGCTAATAATTTAAACCCCTATGGCAGTGCCCAGCCTTCTGTAATGTCGAGTGGCGGGTTGGATATCTTGACCCATGAAATTAACTCTTCAAAGCACAGCAGCAAGTAGGCTGGCTATTCATTCCCCAGACAATTCATTCCCGCTGCTAGTGTGTCACGTAGGAATAGCTGGATGAGTAGACGGCTGGCTGGTTTGACCAAACTACCACATGCACATGGCATGAAGAAGGGCTCCCCTTTCAGCAACAGCTTCCATCCCCATCCCCACCCGCTGTGCAGAAGGGTGACATTACTGAGGTTACTAAGGTTTGACACTTCCTGTCCATGAGCGATCCGTTCACCTTCATTTCTACTTGTAAAACAGAAGCGACTTCCTGGCTTTTGTTGTTTCCTAGTCGTTCACATCTCTGACAGTTCAGGCTGCAAATTATTCCTCAGTTAAACCAGATACCCCTCTGCAGATGCCAGGTTGGGTCAGTGAAAGAACCTGCTGCAGGATCCATCGTCCCATGTGTTTTTAGGGCTCGAGTCGGAAGAGTGCAACCCATTGAATATGAGCATCGAGGCAGAGCTGGTGATCGAACAGATGAAAGAGCAACACCACAGGGACTTGTGTCGCCTGAGACAGGAGCTGGAAGATCAAGTAAGTCCCTCCAACCCCCCAGTTTCCTACTTTCTTTACACTCAGACCACCATTTGCATATGCGACGTTCCCAGTCGTTTCTTCTCGTAGAGCAGCACTCTGTGCATTGCTTCTCGTGTCTGGTGGCTGCTAGGAACCCACTTCCTCAGGCCGAGGACAAAGCCTTTTCCTCTTGAGAGGGCTTCTCCGAAATGTGCCTAGGACCCAATGCTTGGAGGCAGTTTTCTCCAATTTGCTAGAAACCGTCTTAAGAAAACCAAAATAGCCTTTTTGATGTAGCCTAACTAAAACAGGTACAAGTTCCAATTGTTGGCCTGACCGCCCTTCAACACATAGATCTCAGTCTTCTCTACCCATTGCCTGAGCTGCCTGATCCTCTAGCCAGACCGAGTGGTTTGCTCTTCCCCATCAAGCTGTGCCCTCTTTTGCTCATGCTGTTACAATTTCTTTCTTCCTCTTGAAAATCTTCTTCCCTACATTGTTTACATCAAATGTTTCCTTTCCCGTGAAGCCATTCTTGAATTTCCCAACCAAATACCATTTCTCTCTCCTTCGATTTCCTGGGTCACACTGTAGCTCTGTTTCCTTTCCCTTTGACATTTCGTGTTCTGCCCTGTAGTGCAGTGGCTGTCATACTCGTGTACGCTGGCATCTCCCGAATACGAAGAACTATGCGTTACCCAGCTGTGTGCACCCTTCAAGCCCACAGAATACCTTTCAGGACTTCGTTAACCACTTGAACTTATCTTTTAAGACCTTCAGTCTGCAGTTGAGAGGAATCCTGGGAAGACAAAGGGTACCTATGTGTGAGGGGCTGCTCAGGTCTTCATAGAGTTGTTTAGAAACTTGCAAAATTCAACCAAGTTGGCAAATAAAAAGCAAACCATGTCTGACCTAAGCATCTTACTTCAGGTGCTTTTGAATTAAGTTACTTTCAGATAAAATGAGGAAGTGGAAGAAAAGTACTTCAGGTAGGACAAAAGTACTTGCTGTCCGCATCGCCTCCTTCCCGGGGCCTGAGTTAGAATAACTGTGTGGTGCTTTTGGACTCTGACTTTAGGTGCAGCATTATGAAGAGCAGCTGGCTGAGACCCGGGACACCTGGGAAAAGGAGCAGGCGACCACAAAGGACAGCTATGAGCGTGGAATGCACGCCTTGGAACAACAGATAAGTGACCTGAGAAGGGAAATCGCAGAACTGCAGGAGCAGGCGGTGGTGCTGAAGGACACCCACCTCGAGGCCAGCCGCAAGCACGAGGAGGAGAACAAACAACTGCAAATGGCCTTTGAGGAGGAAAAGAGTCGCCTTCAGGAGGAGCTAAGGCTGCAGCACGAGCTGGAGCTCCAGGCCAGGCTGCAGCAGGTGGAGGAGGGCTTTGGCCAGGAAAGGGAAGGACTCCGGAGCAGCGCCTGGACAGAAGAGAGGGTGCGGGGCCTGGTGCAGGACCTGGAGCGGGCACACCAGGAGCAGCTGCAGAACCTGGGGGAGAAGCACGAGCTTGAAAAGGAGGAGCTGAGGCAGGAGCTCTTGGAAAAGCACCAAAGGGAACTTCAGGAGGAACGGTAAGGAAGCCAGGGGACTTGGGCAACCCAGGCGCCATCGCTGGCTAGAGCACTGGAAGTTCCAGTTGCTTCACAAGGCCTGGTAAAACCAGGCTGCAGAGTAGCTTGTGGGGTGAGTTGAGTCTTTTTGCAATTTTCAACCAGCTTTGTCCGTGTTTACACGTGAATCCGCTTTGGTGTTACCGGAACTATTTGTTTTTTGTAAAGAGGGAAGGGTTCCTGGTATTAAGATTTACTGGATCTCAGCTGGACACGGTAGATGTGACTCATACATCAGGCTGAGGCAGGAGGATCGCTGTGAGTTTGAGGCTAGTCTGGGCTACATAGTGAATTCAAGCCTAGCCTGAATTACATAGTGAGACTCTGTATCAAACAAAAAGAAAGAAAAAAAGGGATAGTCCCAAATGTGACTCCTTCCTAGTTCCATCCTGTTCCTTTCTGAGAAAAAACTATTTATAAACTGGATTCTGGGCAAAGTTAATTTCCTCCCAGAAATGGCTCTTTGTGCTCACCTTCCTCGTGTGAAATCCCAGGTACATTCGAGGGCCCTGGAGCTTCATGCCCAGAGTGACATAGTGCTGATTTATTAAATAAGCAAAAACAGAATGAATGATTGATGTGGCTTATATCATACATTGCATGCTTAACAAAAATCAAGGGATGTGGCGGTACACACCTATAATCAGTTACTCAAGAGACTGGGGCAGTAGGGTCACAAGTTCGAGGCCAGCCTGGGCAACTCAGTGAGACCTTGTCTAAAAATAAAAAGAGCTGGAGGTATAGCTCAGTGGTAAAGTGTTGCTGGGTTTGATTCCCCATATCTCCCCCTCCTCTTTCATACTGTCACAACACACACAGTGTTTTTCCCAAGTTAGGAGTTAGGTCGGTGTGCACTTAGTCATTTAATGTGAAGTACCAGTTTAAGATTATGGTTTAAAAATCCCTAAGTACAGCCAAGAGTATGCCAGGGAATATGGTGTATAAATCCCCCTAACAGAGGAGAGAGGTAAGTCTTCCGCACCAGTGGCGGCTGCCAGTCTCAGCTCTCAGAAATGGGATCCCTGCCAGTGTGCGTGGATCACAAAGGAATAAGCTCAGACCATGTTTAGGAAGCGTTTCAGTTGTTTGCGTGGCAGCCTCCTCTCTGCATGAGGAAATGTGTTTTGTTTGCTTCTGGAGTTGGCAGCAGTTTCAGTAACACTGTCTGTTGACCACGTTTAGGGAAGAGATGGAAACAGAGTGTAATAGAAGAGCCTCTCAGATAGAAGCCCAGTTTCAGGCTGACTGTGAGAAGGTCACTGCAAGGTGTGAGAACGCACTGCACAGCCTGGAGGGCCGCTACCGCCTCGAGCTGAAGGACCTCCGGGAACAGCAGCGGGAGGAGAAGTCCCAGTGGGAGTTTGAGAAGGACGAGCTGGCCCAGGAGTGCGCCGAAGCCCAGGAGCGGCTGAAGGAGACGCTGCAGAGAGAGAAAGCAACCTCTCTGGTCCTGACCCAAGAGAGGGAGATGCTGGAGAAGATGTACAAAGAACACCTGAAAAGCATGGTGCTGGAGAGAGAGCAGCTGCTGCAAGACCTGGAAGACCTGCGGAAGGTGTCTGAGAGCCAGCAGAGCCTGCTGTCCAGCCAGATGCTTGAGCTGAAGAGCAGTCACGAGAAGGAGCTGAGGGACCGAGAGCAGGTGCTGTGCCAGGCCGGGGCCTCGGAGCAGCTGGCCAGCCGGAGGCTTGAAAGGCTACGTGCGGAATGTGACCGGGAGAAGCAGGAAATGGTGGCCAGACTTGGGGCCATGGAGAGCGCTCACCGCGCCGCCTGTGAGAAGGCAGAGCGAGAGCAGGCTGAGATGAGCGCGGAGATCTGCAGGCTCCGGGATAAGATAAAGGACCTGCAGCAGGCAGCATCTCCTGTCTCCGGGCTTCAGGGTGACGACCAGGCGGCGGGAGGGGAGGCGGCAGAAGGAAATGGGGCCCTGTCCCTGCTTCAGCAGGGGGAGCAGCTGCTGGAAGAAAACGGTGACGTCCTCCTGAGTCTGCAGAGAGCTCATGAACGCGCGGTGAAGGAAAATGTGAAAATGGCTGCTGAAATTTCCAGACTGCAACAGAGGCTGCAAAAGCTAGAGCCAGGGTCACTAGCGTCATCCTGTTTAGAGGAGCCAGCTACTGAGCTTTTTGGAAATTCTGCAGAACAAACGGAGACATTTTCCTCGCAAAAGCGAATGAAGCGAGTAGATGGTGGGAACACGCGGGGTGTCCTAAATGATCTGCAAGACAGTGACACCCGGGACCTGGCGAGTACGGGGGCGAGCTCTGCCCAGAGACAGGAGCTCAAAGTCGAAGACTCCGAAGCCTCCATGGAGAGTTTTTCCGAGCTTGAAAACAGCGAAGAGACCAGGACTGAATCCTGGGATCTAAAAAATCAGGTTAGTCAGCTTCAGCAGCAGCTAGTGATCCTACGTGCAGATTGTGACCGAGCCTCTGAAAAGAAGCAGGACTTGCTTTTTGATGTTTCCATACTCAAAAAGAAACTGAAGATGCTGGAGAGAATCCCAGAGGCGTCTCCCAAGTATAAGTTGTTGTACGAAGATGCTGCCCAAGAAAACGACTGCCTGCAGGAAGAGCTGAGAGTGATGGAGTCTCGCTATGACCAGGCTCTGGAAAGCAACAAGGAACTCACCAGAGAAGTGTTCCGGTTGCAGGATGAACTAAAGAAAGCGGAGGAAGTGACCGAAACATACCTGAGCATGGAAAAGAGTTACGATGAGGTCAGAACAGAAAACAAAGAACTGAATGTTCTGGTTCTGAGGCTTCAAGGGAAGATTGAGGAGCTGCAGGAAAGAGCGGTCCTGCATTGTGACTCCTTCTCCTTGTGGGAAGCCCGTTTGGACAACCTGGAGGTCGAACCTGCCGAACAGGTTCTAGAAGTCGGTCAGAGGCTGGAAAAGTGCATGCCCAAGGTTACACGTGTACACCGCATTATAGAAGAACGTAAAGAAGAAAACCAGTGCCATGAGCAGGGAAGCACACGGCTTTTGGAAAAAGTAAAAACACGTGAAATTGCCTGGTTGCACAGAACCATTGAGACACACCCAGAAAAGCGTGGAATACAGAGTCAGATTATCCTAGAAGAAAACTCTGCTGTCCTTGGCCTTCAAGATAAACGTTTGCAACGTCAGGCCACAATAGCAGAGTTAGAAATGGAGAAACAGAAGCTACAGGAGCTGACTAGAAAGCTGAGGGAGCGAGTCACCATGTTAGTTAAGCAAAGAGATGCCCCTTGTCAAGTGGAGAAGGAGGAAGAACTGAAGTCCATGATGCATGACTTGCAAGTCACATGCAGTGAGATGCAGCAGAAAGTTGAAGCTCTGAGGTAACGTATGTATGTCCTACGCCATGCAGAATCCCGCAGAGCACCTGGTCGACTCTAACTTCCACCGCTTGCCCTGCCTAGAAAAAACTAACCTGTTAGTCTCCAAGAAGAGAGCCGTACCTTAGACTTCTTTCTGCTTCTGTGTCGTATTAACAAGTAGAGTAACCTTGCTAGGAAGCCTTCACTTCCTTGTAGCAGATGAATGTTGTGCGTAAGAGGTGTGAAAGTTCAACACGGCGAGTGTGTGTTGTTTAATCAGTGCATCGTCAGCATACGTCCTCCACTCCCTTTTAGCGCCTGCTGCGTTTGAATGGAGATGTTATTTTGCTCACTGCCAGTTACTTTCCTCATTTGGATGAAACAGATGAGGGTGAATGCGTTTTGTGTATTATTAACTCACTTGGTAACTAAGAACTCTCTTCTTATACTAATATAGGAAAAATAGTCCTTCCCTTACATCACTTGGTGTGATATAACAATGAAAATTTATCTCAGAACATATAATTTTACCAAGAAGTCACAAGAGTCTAATAAATATGCTTAAAAAATAAAGACATAGGCAGAAACAATTTGAACCACTACTCACTCAATTTTATGAAATATTATTGCATTAGTCTGCCAACAAAATTTTTTTTAAAAACTTGTAAAATATTACATTATATCATCAGTATTTTAATGGTATGAAATTATTTAATTCTGAATGTAGTTATTCCTCTTTCTGAGAACATTTTTAGTTCAAAACATTAGACTATAATGAGATAAATAAAATCACAAAGTAAATAGTATACGTATTTCAGTGTGGCCCTTTGATTTATGTATTACATTTTCTTTTCATAAGTACCTAAGGGCCAAAAACTAAAGCTCATGCATCTGGGTAATACAGCGTATGTGTATTCAGTGGAGGGAGAGAAAAATGGAGTCCTTGCTCAGAGCAATGTGCCTGCCGTTAAGAAAACCAGCAACCAGAGCTGGCATTGTCTCATGCTCACATTTTTTTTTAGCCACACTTTCCTACCGTCTTTTAGTGAAATTCCTACTTCCCCAAAGAAGTGAATCAGTATGTCATAAGTTAATTTCCAAGTACTAAGAGACTACTAATTTAGACTTCCCTTCTGACTGGCATGAAATACTTACTTTATTGAAAGTTACTAGAAAATATTTTCCAAAGATGCCAGATGACTGCCTTGTTGTAACTTTTTTTAAAAATCTCTGTACTTCAGATATGAATCTGAAAAGCTTCAAGAGGAAAATTCTATTTTGAGAAGTGAAATTACTACTTTAAATGAAGAAGATAGCGTTTCTAACCTGAAATTAAATGGCTCTCAGGAAGAAATGTGGTAAGACGTAGTACACTTAAATTTTCTTAAGACATTTAACCAAAAATAAAAAGCTATTTAACTTGCAGTGTTTAAAACCTAATTCCTAAATTAAATTTTCATTGTTTCTTCAGGCAGAAAATAGAAACCGTAGAACAGGAAAAAGTGGAAATTCAGAAGATGGTTGAAAATTTAAAGAAACAGGTAAGGAAACGCTTAGTATTTTCCTATATTTCTTGACTCTAAAATTTTCTTTTTTGTTTGAAATAAAGAGTGTGTTACTAGAATAACATTACTGATGGTGGACACCTATAACTTCTGAATTTAAAAATGGAAACTTACTTTATACTGAGTCTAAATTAGATTTATGTGTTTTGCAAAATAATGTACCTACAATCTCCAGGCCCTCGGTGCTTAAACAAGCCTTCTAGCCAATGGGGGTGGGGAGATGCTACCTCTATGCCATGCCTGTGAATACTGGCTCCAGCCTTTGTGTAGTTTCAAGTAATGTTACTTCCTTTCTTTTCTTCTCACCAGCCTAAAAGCAGAAAGTCAAGGATAGAATTTCACAGACCTAGAATGCCAGCTAATCAGCATATCGCTTTGCAGAACTATGATTTATTCAGATGGCTTGTGCCAATTCAGTGCTCATTTTATATAATCCTGCAATATGCATCAAATATAGGAAAGCCGTTTAAGAGTATGTGTGAAAGTCAAAAGATAAGGACATACTGGGAAAAGAATATTTTTAGCAGTTAAAATAGCCAAGGTGTCAATATCCAAAATATATTTTGTACTCTTACAAATAAATGGCAAAATTCAGTTGAAAACTGGCAATCAATGTGAATGATCAAATCATAAAAACATACAGCACAGAAAAAGATGATTAGCCTCACAGTGATTAGGCATATTTAAATGAGATTCTTCCCCCCCACCCCATTTTTTGGCTTTTGAGACAAAGTCCCCCTGTGTAGTCATTTTTCTCCTATTAAGCTGGAAAGAAAATTAAAGACTGCCAGGCGTGGTGACACATCCCTGTAATCCCAGCACTCAGGAGGCTGAGGCAGGAGGATTGTTGCGAGTTTGAGACCAGCCTGGGCTACAAAGTGAATTCAAGGCCAGCCTGAACTGCATAGTGAGATTCTGTCTCAAAAAAAAATTAAAGATTGATATCATCTAGGATTAAAAAGCATATGAGGAAATGATAAATACATTATTGATGGGATTATTAGTTGGTAGCACTATAAGGAATATTTTAGGGATATCTGTCAAAATAATAACATATATGCATACCTTCTACCTCAGCAACACCCCTTCTAAAAAAAAAAAAAAAAAAAAAAAAAAAAAAAAAAAAAAAGCAGAACCCATTAAAGAAATAATCAAAAAAGATCCTAAATGCAACATGCTGTCATGTGTAAGTGGATTTTCCAGAAGGTCATTTTGTGTCTTCCTAAGTAAACCTATATTCTTATCAACACAAACCTAAATTCCTATCACTGCAAGAATGGGTGAATGCATTATGAAAAATCTTGCTACACAGAATATCTTCTAGCCACTAAAAATGTAGCATGTGATGGTTCCTGAACTCACTAACTCAGAAAAAGATAAGCATCTGTAAGACATTAGGAGTGGAAAAAAATGGGCTGTCCAAATATGGAATGATCCAAATTCTTCCCAAAATGAAAAGAAAACCTCTATGTGTATATGGGTTTTGTGTATGCACTGGAAATGATCTAGTTGTATGTATCCTCAGCTGTGAACATTGGGGTACCCTGTGGAGTAGGGTTAGACTTGTGTCACACTTCTTATACACTTCTGAATTGGTTGAATTTGTAGTAATGAGTATGTATTACTTCTGCGATTACACGTGTACATTTTTTAAACTTTACATAGAAAGGGAAAAAATAATTAGACTCTAAATCTGTCTTTTAGCAGAAGCAGGGCAAGAAGTTTTTAAAACTTATTTCAATTTTAATTAGATTTCAGATTTGAAAATCAAAAACCAACAGTTGGATTCAGAAAACACAGAACTTAGCCAAAAGAATTCTCAAAACCAGGGAGAACTGCAAGAACTTAATCAACGTCTGGCAGAAATGCTATGCCAGAGGGAAAGAGAGCCAGGAAGCGGTGCATTCAAGGAATGGGAACAAGAAAAGTCTCAACTGAAAAAAGAACTGGAACACTATAAAGTACAGGTATGATCAGTACTGCCTAATAGGTTTTTTTAAAAAAGAAAATTCCAAGGAATGGAACAAATGCTCATGATAAATTTCTCACCCACAGCCTTAATAACTAGATCAGTATGATAATGGCACATTAATGGATATTACTATAGCTCTTACTATTAATTATCCAGATAGATAAGTGCAACAGAAAGTCTAGAATTTAACCCAAATTGAACTCAGTACATTTAGCTCTCTGTAATATGTGGGTTCTACATCCACGGATTCACCCAATCCTTAATCAAAAAAAAAAATTTTTTTTTAAATTGCACCTATACTGAACGTGAACAGAATTCTTTTTCTTGTTATTCCCTGAACAACACAGTGTCACAAATACTTACCTAGCATTTACCTTGTACGCAGTATTCTGTGTACTCTAGAGATGAGTTAAAGAGTTGGGAGGCTGTGAGGTTCTGTACAAATACGTTGCCACTTTTGATAAGGGACTTGAGCCTCTGAGGATTTTGGTGTCTGGGAGGTCCTGGAAGCAGTCCACGTTGGATACCAAGGGTGACAGTGTGTAACAAAGGTGGCTTCTAAACCACTAGGGTAAAGATTGCCTTTTTAACAAATAGTGTCTGGCCAACTGGATAGACATCTAGAAGTAGATACAGTTAGATCCAGATTTCATAACATAACAAGGATAAACTGAATTTGGAGTCTAGATACAGAAAATTAAATTGTAATAGTACTAGAAAAAAAATGAGTGAATTTGTCCTTAACATCAATGTGAAGAAAGGCTATCGATGGTGACACGTGCGTATAATTCTAGTACTCTGGGTGGCTGAGTCAGGACAACTGCAAGTTTGAGCCCAGCCTGGACAATTTAGATCAGGGTCTGTCTCAAAATAAAATGTGTGGTGGGGATGTTGCTCAGTACAGAGGCCTTGG